ATCAGTATCTCCAAATAACTCGGCAACCCAATTCACAACAGATAATTCTTGTTGCATACCTTCAAAAGTTGCTTTTTTTAAAGTTGTAACCAAAATGTCCTTATTCCTTATCTCCATATGCAGCAAAACATTGAACCTAATAGAGCAATGATCACTTGCGCCCAGATGTTCCACAATTTCTACCCTTTCAATCATTTCTGTACTTGAAGTTGACGATAAGTCTAAAATAGCATTGTTTCTTTGACTAACTGGTGAAGAAAGCCATCCTGAACAGTTTCTATATACCTTTTTCCCTCATGGTTTGACTCTAGAATTTCCCAGTCTATATGCCTGAAATTAAAATCACCCATAATTATGACTTTATTAACAGCTGAAATCTCAATCTCATTGTAAAGTTTCTCACTAATTTCATCATTATCATTTGGTGGTCATTAAAACATTTCACTAAAAGCCTTTTTCCTTTATATCCACTAATAGAAACTCAATTGGATTCAATCTCTTTGCTATTATCTTCGATATCCCAGGATGTAACTCACATTTTACATATAAAGCCACTCCCCCCCTCTTTAATACTATATTCCTATTAAATAGCCTGTAACTCTGTATTTCAAAAAATATTCTGTCATCAAATCATCTATGTTTAACCATGTTTCAGTTATTCCCATTATATCAAAATCCTCCATTCCTACCAGTGCTCTAAGGTCATTTGTTTTATTTCTTATACTTCTAGCATTACAATAGTAACAATTAAGCCTATCCTTTATAACAACTTCTATACTCTTTTCCTATGCTAAACTTTTCTCTGCTTCTTATTCTTTTTGCATTCAGTTTTTCCTGGCCCTGATGACTGTCTAGTCCTAGTTTAAAACTTCCCTTATAGCTGAGTTAATAGCCTTAGCAAACAAGCCAGCCCCTACTCTATTTAAATTTAAACCATCCATTGCAATAGCTCCATTCTTCCACTGAACTGATCACACAAGTCCAACCAGCTTATCCTAACATACTAACCTAAGCCTAGCATTTAGCCCTAATTATCTACTTATAACTTCATCCCCACAGTTAATTCTGGGCGGTATCCCTGACAAAATTAAGTTATGGCCATTTTCTGTAAATACCTTTATCAACCCCTTGTACTTATTAATTAGCTCCATTGACTTATCTTTCCATACATCATTAGCCCCTACATGTACTACAAAAACTGCATTTCTGCTAGCCCCCTTTATTATATCTCTTGCTCTGTCAGTGTCAGTTATAACTTATATCCTGAAAGTCATGGTTAGCTGATGTATCCCTTGCATGTAAAAGCTTAAGCTCCTCCTGAAATCCTGCTGCCATTTCCCACAATCTACACTTCTCTTTATCTATTGCATCTACTTTAATCATGATTGCCTCTTATTTCTCCTCCAACCTACAAAGTACAAACTCTACATAAAAATTGCACATCTTCATTACTACTACTATCTTCCTTAAAAGTACATTTCAGTTCTGAGTTCCCAAATAAAACCCACTCATTGCACCTAACAAATTGTGAATGCTTAATTCCTACACTAGTCTTAACCATTGTATTTATACTTATACTTATAGCCTGAAAATAAATACTCATTACCAGTAGCCTATTGTTAACATTGTTACTGTTAAGCCTAACATTTAACAACCAGTTATATTTTTTTTATCAGTATTTTGTCTTCACACTAAAGTTATAAAGGTTATCTTTAATTATATAGAACCTAATAATTTATTAGAACAATATTAAAACGTATTTACTATAGCCTACTTTATATTATAACCTACCTATATCTATAAGCTGAATATAAACTAATAGATCTAATAATGGCTGGAGATGGCTTGAATGGGTAATGAAGAAAAACTTTAATATAACAGCAAATGTACAACGTTTCGACAAGGTTTTGTCATCATCAGGTAACCCAAATTACTACAAATTAGTATAATAATATTAAATAAATTTCAGAAATCTATGAGCTTAACTTTTCAACGTCCTCCCTCTTCAGTAGCGCTCCATCTCTAATGTTAAGTGTTGAGTTTTAAATTATAAGTAGTTGAAACTTTGTGTAATAGTGTTAGTTTGCTGCAGTTGAAAGACTTGCTACTTTTACCTGTTAATAACTATTGTAGAATAAATCCTTATACAAGTAATTTTTGTATATTTTCATTATGATGTCGTACATCAAGGTATAGTTTTGGCATCTCTGTAAAGCATAAGTATGAAGGTTCTAAACATACATTGACCTTAAAAACCTTGAACAGTATAAAAAGTGACGATACACATAGATGTCATTTTTAAGATTTCAAATCTTTATGAACTCATCATTTTTAGTATGACTCCTACTAATTATTAGTTTAACAATAGACATTTTGATCAAAAAGATGAAAGTAGTATGGGTAGTCCACTGGCATTTGTTTTAACCAAAGTATTCATGATTAGAATCAAAATCTGAGCTACAGAAACTTCCTTTTGTTCTCCTTTATATTGGTTAAGAGATATATATATATATACACTGCTTTTAAGTTTACAACATTTTGAACATCTTACTTTTGTTCTCCTTTATATTGGTTAAGAGATATATATATATATACACTGCTTTTAAGTTTACAACATTTTGAACATCTTAATAATTGACATAATAGCATTAGTTTTACTAAAGGGCCAAGTATGTACCTATGGCTTGAATCGATAAATCAGAAAAAAGGTTTCCAAACTTTTTTTTTATTGGAAATATTCACATTTTGACATTTGTATACTTCAGGATTCAGCACATAATCAAGCACCAAAACTGGCTATTATAAAAACACTTAAATAGTGCTAAAGGGATTTGTAATAACCAGGAAAGTTTTCTTTTGGTATCTGATGATGCTTTTACTGGCAAAACTATGGTCAGGTATAAATGAAGTTTTTGTGAAACGTACAATTGTCTTTGTTTTAATTCTTCAATTCAATAATTATGGAGTCACCAAATACTGATGGTTTCAAGTATCAATTATAATCTAGTACTTTAAGTAACAACCTCAGTTGTTCTAGTTGTGTCTATTTAGTGAGTATTGCAGACTGCCAGCACAGGTGGGTGTGGCAGAAATATTGAAGATTGAATCAAGGCAGGCCACTGGTTTGGCTCTACAAGCCCAAACGTGATTTGAAGTAAAAATGTATATGTGAATACAAAATATTACAGAGACTAAACATAATGTAAAGAATGGATATTTTATTCAGTGTACTCACATTTTGTAATGTTTTTTTATTGCTTTTTTATTTTAATTAAATGTATAAATATGGAATTGAATATATTAAGCTTTAGCTTGTCAATGTGTTCAATGCTCATG